TCTTGTCTTGTGGCTTCTACTTCCTGTTTCAAACTGCATTTAAAATGTTAAATATTTTTATGTATTTTAGCTCCCATCAATTTGACTTCAGATTTTTACACAGTTGATAGCATATATTGCCCATGTAATTCTCCGTCACAGTTTGGTAGGTAGCAGAAAAACAGAGAAAAAGAGTGTAAGAATAGGTACTTTCTCTTCACTGTGAATATTTTAGTTCATTAGAAATAAAGTGATTCCAGGCAGTGGTGGCACATGCTTTTAAACCCAGAGGCAGACAGATCTCTGAGTTTGAGACCAGCCTAGTCTACACAGTGAGTTCAAGGACAGCCAGGGCTATACAGAGAAACCCTGTCTGTGTCTCCAAAAGCCAAAGGGGAAAAGAAAGCAAGGAAGGAAGGAAGAAGAGAGAGAGGGAGGGAGGGAAGGAGGAAGGAAGGATTGAAGAAAGAAATGAAGAGAGAAAGAAAAAAGAAAGAAAGAAAGAAAGAAAGAAAGAAAGAAAGAAAGAAAAAGAAAGAAAGAAAGAAAGGAAAATGTAGTGCTATCCTGAGCTAGTGAGAAGAGTAGTTTTGGTGAAGAATAAATATGAATTAATCTCTTAAAAAATACATGCAATACCAAAACTCTGGGTTTTTGGTAAATATTAAGATATGTTATGGGAAATATATATTTCAAGCAATCCACATTTGGATCAGTATCTTTTATCAGGTAACTAAGTGCAAATACAGAATTATATTAGCAAGCACCAAATACCCAAATGCAAACACAAATATAAACATTCATATTTGAGGTGTCAGGGCAATAACAGTGTGGGAGGCTTGACAAGTTTACTAATTAATATTTGTTGTTATAAAAGCTACAGATTTAAAATATTTATAAAAGCTAATTCACTATTATTATAATTAAAATACATTTTTAACTTCCAGGCATTAATTGGGATTTCAAATATTGTCCAACTAAAATCTCCCTCATCTACTCGGTGGTGTTCTGTATGCTGTGAATATGTGTTGCTCTGATTGGTTAATAAATAAAATGCTGATGGGCCAGGAGCCAGGCAGGAAGTATAGGCAGGATAAGAAACAATGAGAATTCTGGGAAGGGGAAGGCTGAGTCAGGAGATGCCAGCCCACTGTCCAGGGAGCAGCATGTAATAGCACACAAGTAAAGCCACAGAACACATGGCAACATACAGATTAACAAAAATGTGCTGAGTTTAAGTGTAATAGCTAGTCAGTAGTATTCCTGAGCTAATGGCCAAGCAGTTTTAATTAATATAAGCTTCTGTGTGTTTATTTGGGTCTGAGTGACTGTGGGACCAGGAAAACTTCAGCTACACTCATCTCCTATGAAACAGTTTCTTAAACATCAAATATCTGTTTAATTTCTCTTCTCCTCTATTACAGATACATTTTGCCATAATGGAGTTTATTCTAAGTTCAATCTTTTTGTTACATGAAGCATAGAAGTTTAAAATATAGTGTGATATACAATCCTTATCTTTTCATTTATATATATATATATCTTGAAAATAATGAATATTCTCTTCCTTTTTATGTGTAACTTCTCCAGTCCTGACTAGTTCCATGGCTTTCTTGAAAAATTAAATCTAAACATTAAAATGATACTAATATACATTATAACTTCAACTATTTTTCTTAGAGCAAAAAGTGACAAGTACTATCATTCAACATACTTTGGCTAACACTGTTAATCAAAGTTGTGACATGTCTCATGATGGATTTCCATCACTTCAGTCTGTTTCTTTCTATTATCTATCTATCTATCTATCTATCCGTCTATCTATCATCTATCTATCTATCTATATAATCTATGTATCTATGAATGTGTGCTGTATGTATGTATGTATGTATGTATGTATCTGTCTGTCTCTGTTTATCTATATAACAATAGATGCTACATGAGCATTTACTCCTTTCAATACATTCATAAATCTCATGCTATATAGTGTAAAAAATAATGTTTAAAGATAATATATTTATTTAATATTTAAGTATGTTTGTCTGTTATAGTTATTTAAGGTATGTTTGTCTGTTACAGTTTATGTATACTATGTGTATATTGGAGCTTGCAGAGGGCAGAAGAGAGTTACAGGCAGGGATGAACTGAAATGTGTGTGCTAGGTAGTAAACATACATCTTCTTCAAGGACATTAAGCACTCTCTCCTACTGAGTCATCTCTCTGTCTCCAGAATTAGGGTTGCAAGGTCCATCACATCTCTTTCAGTGCAAGTTGAAGTAATTTTAATTGAGTGAGATCTAAGGTCAGGCATTTCTATCACTGTTTTTGCAGAACTGTATTTTTCTCTCACATAAACAGTCAGAGAACACCTCTGGTTAGCATATTGGGGTCTTCAGGGCAGTAGTGCATGATCTCTAGTTAGCTAATTTCTCACTGAGAATCCAGTGCACTTATGCCTGGTGATTTCAGTGGAAAGAGAAGAAAGTGAAAACTATGGAAGGGAGATAAATCTGGGTCTTGTCAGCTGTAAAGAATCACATTTACTCTCACTTTCTATGCCTGTTCCCAGTCACATGCTTATGCAAAATGCAGTTGCATTTAAGGATAAGGGACACTGAATAATGTAGATTTACTATTTATGCAAGGAAAAGACAAAGGTATTTGGTGAGTTTATTAGTATATCTCTTCTACAATAGGCTAAGATATAAGACTTCATAAATCCATTTGTGATTTTTATGTTTTCCTGGTGGTAATATCAATAGATATAATTTCTTTAAAATGTAGAAACCATATTTCACTTATATTATTTTAATTCCAGCAACTACCAAATACTAGGTTGTGTAGTGAAAAATGTTTGTTTAACTGTTGGTTCTTTAGTAGTAGTTCATTGTAGGTTAAAAAAAATCTTAATCATGAAATATCATTATCACCATCATTATTATTACAGTTATAGAAAACTTTAAATGGCTTATTATAGGGAAAGAGTTTCTTGATATGAAAAGGCTAAGGAACCAAAATGGATATGATGCAGCATCCCCCTAACGTGAGATTACAGATAGCATTAAGAGTAGTAGGATAATAAATCTTTCCCTGGCATGGATTAAGATTTTAAAAAGGTGAGGAAAACTTTTTTAAAGAAGAGTAATTAATGTTAAAGAACATTCATCTGTTTATTTAAATTAATGTGTAAATGTATAACTAGGGATATATTCATAAACGTTATTCATATTTATAATATGTTTGTTCTTACTATTTTAATACTTGCCTATATCTAATACATTATTGAAATGCTAGTGGTTAAAAATAGTAATTTGAACATATCATTTAATCATAATGTTAATCTCAGGTAGCTGATTGAATGCCTAGAGGTAACAGAGAATTTAAGAAAAAAAATAAAGATTATAGGAAAATACAGTATGTGTTATACCAGAAGCACCTATACAAGTATGTAAAAATTCATAATCATTCTACTATGAAAACTATTTTAAATGTTGAAAAAAACAGAGAAATTATAATGTGTAACATAAAGCTTATATCTTCTGTTTTCCAACATTCATAAAACAATCCTGAAACTACATAGTACCATAAAGCATTTAATGAACAGGGACAGTAGAAGCCAATGAACAGGGACGAGGCAATTTACTGTGTGACACTCAATCTTCTTTCTAATAAAAAAGGAAAGCAGTAATTTCATAGTTTTAAGACATTTGGTTGCCTGAAGCATCTGCTAGTACATTTTTATCTGACATATTTTAGCATAACTTAGCAGAACACAGAGGTTTGCATTGTCCTTTGGAGGGGTGGACTTCAGCACAGTGGAAGAGAAAAACATACCTGGAAGCCATCATGTCTGCATTGTACTTGGTTTCCTTGCTGCTCAGTGGTTGGAGGTGAAATTATAGCTCCTATATTTGCTGAGTCAGCCTTTCTAGTCCAACCTTCATATTATTATGACTAATCTTTCTCTTTCCTTGGCAGGGCACAGCCAGCCTCTTGGGACTTCTCAATCTCAAGTCTTGATAAAGGATGGAAACATCACCACATGGCTGTGAAAATAGAATGTGAAGTGGGTTATTGGTATGAGCATGCAAGACAAAGGAGGACTAATAGAATCTTTCCATTCAAATGATAAAATTTAAATGATAATATAGAAAAATTATGAAACAAGGTTTTTTTGGGGTGCTACAACTTACCCTATATTTAAAATTGATTCTAAATTAGAGAATAAATTTAACTTGGGTTTTTCAGGAAAATAAAACCAAACAGTACAAATACTCTTAACTTCATTTTTTTTTGGTTAATGTCAAAATCTTGCAAGTAACTTAAAAAAATTAGCTAATATAGGTATTTCAATTTTTTTTTTAAAAAGTATTCTGAGAGTATTTTGGTAAAGCTTTATGGCAACTTGACCAAGTGAAGAGTTACGGATGTAGAGCAATAATTTGAAGTTGAATTTTGCAAATTAGATTTTGGAGGAGAAGAAAAACATCAAAGTATATTATATTCCAAATTTTAAATAAAATTATATGAACTTAAAATTTCAGTGTTTATAAATTAATTCTATTAGAATAGAAAATCTTTCTATTAATAATTTTCTAATATAAAATTGATACATAAAAATAACTATCTATTTAAGAAAATATTAAAATAAAGTAACACATAATAAAATTTGACATTTACCACTCATCACTGCAAACCTTTGTCATACAACGAGCATTATGTTTATTTTTTTTATTTTTTTTTTTTAATAAAAAAAATTGTATTTACTTAGAAGCATTCAGAATGTCAACAAAACAGCTGCAATTTTTTTTTGCAATTACAGAGTGGTATTCAGTTAACAGAACAACAATTATCTTCGTATAAGCTGCATCAGAGACAACTGAAGATGAAAAAAAAAAACAAAAAAACAAAAAATAAAAACAAAAACAAAAAAAAACCTACCATCCCCATATATAACTAATTTGTGCTGTGCACCAACAAGGACCTGCTTTAAATTTCCATGCCAATTTACAACCCCCAGACTGTACCAGGCAAGGTTAGTGGCTCTTGAGAATACCACCAGGTCCTCATACGCATTCTTTGTGCAAACTTGCCGGGAGGAACACAAGAAGAAGCACCCGGATGCTTCTGTCAACTTCTCAGAGTTCTCGAAGAAGTGCTCAGAAAGGTGGAAGACCATGTCTGCTAAAGAAAAGGGGAAATTTGAAGACATGGCAAAGGCTGACAAGGCTCGTTATGAGAGAGAAATGAAAACCTACATCCCCCCCAAAGGGGAGACCAAAGAGAAGTTCAAGGACCCCAATGCACCCCAGAGGCCTCCTTCGGCCTTCTTCTTGTTCTGTTCTGAGTATCGCCCCAAAATCAAAGGAGAGCACCCCGGCTTGTCCATCGGGGACGTGGCGAAGAAGCTGGGGGAGATGTGGAACAACACCGCTGCGGACGACAAGCAGCCCTACGAGAAGAAGGCTGCCAAGCTGAAGGAGAAGTACGAGAAGGATATCGCTGCCTACAGAGCTAAAGGAAAACCCGATGCGGCGAAGAAGGGCATTATGTTTATTTTAATACTCCAGTGAGACTTGAAATTTCATGGGAATCACTGTAGTCCATTATCTTTGTGCCTAGGATGGTCAGGGCTATTTTTATCTACAATTCTCCTTCTAAGCACAGCAATTTTATGAAGTGATAGCTATCTGCTGTGACATGTTCTCTATGCTGTGAATGTGTTGCTCTGATTGGCTAACAAAAAAAATGCTGATTGGCCAGTAGCCAGGCACGCAGTATAGGCGGGACAAGGAGAGAAGAGAATTCTGGGAACAGGAAGGCTAAGTCAGGGAGACACTTCCAGCTGCCGCCAGGACAAGCAGCATGTGAAGATGCCAGTAAGCCACGAGCCACGTGGCAAGGTATAGATTTATAGAAATGGATTAATTTAAGATAGAAGAACTAGAAAACAAGAAGCCTGCCATGGCCATATAGTTTGTAAGCAATATAAGTTTCTGTGTGTTTTCTCAGTTGGGTATGAGCAGCTGTGGGGCTGGCAGGTGAGAGAGATTTGTCCTGACCATGGGCCAGGCAGGACTGGAGTAAACTTCACCTACATCTGTGTGGTAATTTGGAAAGTGGTTTCTGAGTTTTTGGGAGTTGCTGGCTGGACAGGAACTACATATGGCACCAACTATCTGGCATAGATACACATAAGATCTGAGGGCTTAAAAATAGGATTCTAAATATACAAAAGAACAGAGTCAAACATGGTTTCTTGGTAGTGGCATTTTCTTGGGTGAGTTCTGTTTGCTGGCAGTAAGCAGAGGCAGAGCTCCTTTAGGGGCAGTTTCTAGGTTCATGCTGGCAGCACAGATGCTTCTTTGGGAGGTCCCACCACTGAACACTTAAATGGGGTTTATGAGCAGTGAGAAGTGCTCTTTGTAAAGACAGCCTGGATCCAAAAATTCATAGGAATTTGGGCTCTAAACTTGGTTCCTGCCAGTACCCCCACTATGAAGCTAGACTCTCAGACAGCCAAGGAATGGGGTGAAGCCAGTTTAAAGACTCATCTGGTCAGAAAAAGAAAAGAAAAGGATATTCAGTAAAAACAGATTCTGTTGGGAAAAACAACAACAAAAACCTCTAAATGGTTTACAATGTGTTTAAAAATATACATATGCTTCAGAGAGTAAAGAGAAGGTATAGACACTCATAAAAAATAAGTATATAGTTTTAAAATAATAAAGTGTGTGGTGATACATTATATACCCTAATAAAATTTGCCTGAAGATCAGAGAACAGAACAAGCCATAAACATAGATAGGGGCCAGGCAGTGGTGGCACACACCTTTAATCCCAGTACTTGGGAATCATGTGCCTTTAATCCCAGAACTTTAATTCTCATGCCTTTGCTTGGAAAACACACACATCTTTAATCCCAGGAAGTGATGGCTGGGTGGAAAAAGGTATATAAGGCATGAGGAGACAGGAACTAGAGGTTCTTTTCAGGCTGAGGAATCTTAGAGGTAAGACATGGCAGTGGCTTGCTCTTTTGTCTCTCTGATCTTTCAGATATTTATTCCAATATCTGGATCTGGGTTTTTTATGAATAAGATCTTTTAGAAATTTGTGTTACATCTGGTGTCCAACATTTGGGGCATGAATTCACAAAAAAAAAAAAAAAAAAAAAAAAAAAAAGCCACAGGCTAGGCCAGAGCTACATGTGGCCAGAATCTCTACCCCGCCTGGGCTAGGAGTCCCTACCCTGCCTGGGCTGGGAGTCCCTACCCCTCTGGCTAAATTTTTGTTGCAGCCTCTCTGCAGCAAATTCTGTAGGATTTTGGGCTCCCAAACTGCAGGAGTTAGCCACTTTCATACACTTCCCCCATGCACATGGCTGGATCTTTCACTTCTTTCCTCTCCTGGTGGGTTTTTGGCTTTCTCTGAGCCCCCTCCTCATGGTGCTGCCACACCATTGTCTGAATCGCCATTGTCAACAGATTTGGTGAGTCAATTGAGATTTCTTTAAGGAAGAAATTAGTTAAAAGAAAGTTTTGTCCCTGATTAAAAAATGGTAACATTTTACAATGGAGGGTGTTTGGTCTCTGTTTGATAATAGGATTGATGGTTTAAAAACTGAACAATTAAATGAGAGGATAATTAATGTTGATGGTATTTATGTAATGTCAATTATAAATATTATTTGTTTGATCATTTCTGTTTTATTATTAAAACATTGGTTAATATGAGTGCCAAGATAAAAGTTTTAGAAAAACTTATTAATATAGATCATAGAGATATTCAAACCATACAGAGGAATTAAAAGGAGAACCAGTCTTAACATTGCATTATAAGGTTACAGAGAAACAGCTTAAGGCTTTCAAATAGCCAACCTTAATTTATCCAGTAACCTTACAGGAACTACCAAATGATAGATATCCCCAAGGCTGTGTATGAGCTGTATGGACTCCTGTGCAAATGTTAGATTTGAGGAGATTCAAAGAAGCAATAGTCTCATATAGCATCCACTCATCTTTCATGAAGCAGATGTTAAACTCATGGTCAGCTTGTCATAGAATGACCCCTCAAGACTTGAGAGATTTGGTTACAGCAGTCTTAGAGACTAATCCACAATTGTAATGAAGGGCCTGGTGGAAAGATAAGGCTGAGACCATTGAACAGCAAAGTAGGGCTAGAGGTATGGAAATCTCCCAAGATCAACTTCTTGGCAAACACGAGTATGCTGATATACAAAGACAGTCTTTATATGATGACCATACAATAGCATTATGCTACATGGCAGCCTTGAATACTTAGGACAGAAATGAAGAAGTAGGAAAGAAAATTGAGTCATTTACTTGTAGCTAGAGTTTTCCTGCCTTGCCCACAGTCAGGACAAATCTCTGTCACCCGCCAGTACCACAGCCGCTCAGACCCAACCAAGTAAACACACAGAATTATATTGCTTACAAATTGTATGGCCATGGCAGGCTTCTTGCTAACTGTTCTTATAGCTTAAATCAATCCATTTCTATAAATCTATACCTTGCCATGTGGCTCGTGGCTTACCAGCATCTTCACATGCTGTTTCTCATCGTGGCGGCTGGCAGTTACTCCTCCCACCTCCCTGTTCTCTCAATTCTCCTCTCTTTTAGTCCCACCTATACTTCCTGCCTACCCACTGGCCAATCAGTGTTTTATTTATTGACCAATCAGAGCAATTTGCCATAGAGACCATCCCACAGCATTTACTAAAGTTATACAGGGCCCAAAAGAAGACTTCACTGATTTCTTAACCAAGACTGTTTTCAGCAGTAAATAGAATGATACCAAATTCAGAAACCAGACAGATAATAATTGAATCTCTGCCTTTTGAAAATGGCTATTGCACAATGCAAAAGTGTAATTAGACCTTTAAAGGCAAGATCATCTTCTTGTGGGAATGGATCCAACATACAATACATATTGAATTTCATGATCATGTTGATGTTTAGATTGGAGAGGTGATTTCCAGAGGTTTGAAGAAAAATTGTAGTGTCAAATGTTTCAATTGCTGTAAACAAGGTCACTTAAAAAGGGACTGTAAACAGGACATTTCTAGAAACAATGCTTTTTCAAGGAACAATGCCAACAGAATGTTCCTCCCTTCTGGATTATGCAGAAGGTGTGGCAAAAGCAGACATTAGACTAACGGAGGTAGATCAATAAGAGACAGACAAGGTAATCCTTTGCCTTTGCCTTAGGGAAACTTCCTGAAGGGCCTCTTGCAGGCCCCCATGTCAAATTCTGCCCAGTCTTTTCCTCTCATTGTGGAAGAAACTCCTTTTCATAGCAATTAAAAAAGACTACATAGCTATAATTTATATTTTTCCTTAGTTAATTAGATAGTAACTTAGATACAAAACTTCAGACTCAGCAAGATAAGATAGATATTTTTTCTCTAATTTTGGTAAATGCCAATGGATCAGATATTGTTATTGTAATTCTTATGTAATAACTATTTTTGTTGCATATAATCTTACTATGTAAAGTTAAAATCTTCTTTTTTAATTAGATAGAAAGGGGAAATGCTGTGGAATAATCCTCTCATACACTGTAAAGGTTTGTCACTCAAATTGGTTTAATTAAACACTGATTGGCCATTAGCCAGACAGAAAGTACAGGCAGGGTGACTAAAGTGAGATTGATGGGAAGGAAAAGGGCATAGTAAGAGAGTTTCCAGCCAGATGCAGAAGAAGCAAGATAAGAAAGCTGTATGGAGATAAGGTACCAAGCCATGTGGCTAAATATAGATAAGAATTATGGGTTGATTTATGTGTAAGAGTTAGTAATAAGCTTGAGCTACTGGCTGAGTATTTATAATTCATATAAGCCTCTGTATAGTAATTTGGGAGGCAGCAGTTATTGGGTATTTGGGAGATGCTAGTGGGATAGAAATTTCTGTCTACAGGCCTGTATTGTTTTTAAGTTTTGCAATGATAAGAAAATTTCATTGACAAACTATTTTTAGTGGAATATTTCACATCATGTTTCCTCATTTTCTCACAAATATTAGTTATAATTCTCCCATTTCTTCTGTTAGTAAAATATTCTAAGAACAACTAAAATATTTCATATGACATTGCAATGAAATTAAGATGTTCATTTGCATAGGTATAGCTCTTAAGAATGCATTCAGCAATAAATGCCTCATATATAGGACATCTTCTACTGATGTTGATAATGGAAATGTCACTGGAAAAAAAAACAAATCAATCGATTCCACATGGTGTTCATCACTCAACTAATAATAAATGAATAAATGTTAAATTAATTGATTATGTTCAAAGTTTGTTCATCTCCATCAGTATGATGAAAAGGCTTGACTTGGAGACATGGAAGAAATCAGAGGAAGAAGATAAGTTTACTTCAGCCTTGATATTCATTCCTAAAGCAAGTAGAAATAAAGTAGCAAGGTTAATTTAATATACTGTGATCTATTTTCAGGCAGTTGAATTCAATTCATGAGAGAATTGAGCAGAAAGAGAAAAAAATGTTCAGACCATCTCTTCCTTCTGCCTGGGGCACTGAGGTTGCAGAAGCTGGCCAA